TGACTAGTGGAGGCGTCCCTGGATTAAACAAATTAATATTGATTTAATATTCATCATTGAGTTATTAGTTTTACCAATTTGAGAAGTTGCTACTAACCCTAGGCCTGATCATTGCCAATTGGGTCTTTTATAATACGAAATAATATAATGGATCTAGGAAGGTTATACATGCTAGTAGATACTTAGAGACATATGATTAATGAAATTATGTTGGAGTTAATTAATTTAGGAATCGATGAACAACATATCAATATCTATTTAAAGGAAATCATCAATAGAATGAGGAACTATTAAACAAAAATATGAGTACCTTCAGATTATGTTTATCATATAGTTAACCATGGTTGTTACTGTTGAGTTTTTATTCAAAATTTAGTTTCTAAAACACAAGATTAGTAAAAGAAGCATTTAAATTTTGAATAACATAAACTAGTTTTATTCACACCAAAGGGTCTACTTGCAAAGTATGGAAATAAAACAACAACCATAGAAGGGGAAAAGATCAACAACCTTTGTAGTTCTTTGAGTCCTTAAGGGAGGCTTGAAAGTTGATGAAGAAGGCAAAGATCCAAACTAGAATTTCTCTATATGTATCTACCAGCAAGTCACCAAGCCACTATAAGATGTTAGTCTATCAAATATAGTTAGTTTTTATTAAGCCTTAAAGACTAATAACAAATTAGCCTTAAAAGGAGAAGCAACTAGAACACTCAAAATATCATAACACTTTGCAAGAGAGAGAGAGAGAGAGAGAGAGAGATAGGGGGAGGGAGGGAGAAGGTGGATAGGGGAGCTAGAGGTCCACTCGATTTTTTTCTCAAAAGAAGAAGAAGAAGAAGAAGAAGAAGAAAACTAGCTTTGGTCCTCTATCTTCCTTTTATATTTACACATCTAAATGAAAGCCCATACTTCCATTAAATGATTTCAATACTTGCAAGTAACATGCATGTGTAATAAGAAGTCAAAAGGAAGCAATCAACCATACCTAGTGGAAGGTATGGACGGTTTTGCTGAGAGAGAAAAAGAAGAAGTTCTAAGCACTTCTTATTATTTAAATGTACATGACATATACTAGTGGTCTTCCATAAGTCCAAAATGTTGTACACAAGTTATTCAACCATATTATATGATATAAATAACTCGTTATTTATATCATATGTTATGAGCAAATATCATTTCATAATGATTCTTAAGCATAAAGATATTTCAGTTATGAGTATTTATTTGATTATTTGTTTTCTAGATTATTTGAGTGATACTTATTCCCTTTATATGATTTTTCTAAGACTGATTAATAAGATGATACAGGTATATTAGTATAGTTTTTTCCCCATATGTTCGATACACTTACTTACTTAAGTTATGTTATTCCTGATCAGGTACAGTACTGCATGATGTTGATATTCAGTTTGGTTTGTTAGGTTTTATAAATTTAATATTGTATATGTATTTTAAATGTTTATTTTATAGACTATCCTTCGCACATCAAGTTTTTTGTGGCGTTGTCGTGGAATAGATTCAACTAATATTTTTGTATTTAGTTATCGATCAATCGATCCTTTCTGATAAGAAAGTTATTATTTTTTGTTTGATTTCAAAATTTTGATTTTCGTTGATGACGGTTTCCCTTGTTGAAATGTATTTTGTTGTTGCGATGTACAGGAATTCAAGAAAACTAAATGTAGGGTTACAAAACGTTTAATACTTATTGATTATCAAAAACTTTATGAAATAAAGAGGTGAAAGTATTGATGGCAATTTAAGTTTTTTTTAAACAACAAATCTAGTTTACTCCGAATTTCATCAATGTTTCAAACGAGACTTGAACCTTCGGCCTTGAGAAGGAATGACAACACCCGGTACAGTTGGACTGGAAGCCCTTTGGTAGACAAATTTAAGTGATCAAAATTTAGTGCTATAAGTTATGAAAAACAAAAAAAAATAAAAATAATAAAAAAATAGAAGATAGTAAATATGCTACAAGAACTAAAGTAATACTCTTATATGCATGAAAAAATAGACGATTACAACTTCTTACAATGCTTAGGCTTGGGGGTGGAAGACAAAGATGCATTGGCAAAGGTATGGTGGCGAGGAAGAGGCTGAGTTGGAGGGAGTTGGAGGGAGTTGGAGATGGGTGGCATATCTTCTTAAATCTAGGAATATCTAATAAAATATTAAAAGAAAAATTAAGATATGAAAAAAATTTATTAAAAAAAAACTATCATGTACAAAACTTATCTGGAAAATAGAAGCTAGATTAAATTACGCGAATGGTCCCTGTAGTTCAGGGTAAGATGCATTTTTCTTACGCATTGGGTCCTTCACAGACATAAAATGACTAAAATACACTTCTTTATTTCTTTTTTTAATTTATTTATTTTGAATTTGTTATTTTTTACTAAAAATGTAGTTAATTCATAAGATGGGACACACCTTACACCCTTACCTCACATTCCTCGTCTTCTTCATCAGGCTGTCTCTTGCACGGGGACCCCTCTTTCACCCTCTCAACCATCTTCAACTTTGAACTACTAATATGAAAATCATTCTCATCAAATCCCAATGAAAATCTGAAAACCAAATCAAACCTCAAAACTTATGCTCGAATATGAAATCAACTCAAATATGAAAATCAAATCAGAATCAAACATCATCTTGTACGAAATCGAGAAAATAAGAAAAAAGAACGAATGCAGATGTCGTCAATGAGAAAGAGGAAATCGTTTGAGAGAAAACGGATGGTGGTGATGGTCTAGATCTAGTTTAGGGTTTTTAAATTGAAAGTGAACGACAATCTTAGATGGAGAGACAGTGACGAGGTAGATAGATATCAACAAGGAGGAAGATGATGGTGATAGTCTCAAAGAAGGGACCAAATGAGTGTATTAGTGGCGACGTAGCTTTGATCGTCGGTGGCGAATGTTTATACCTCTGGTGACATTCGATGTGTATCGAGTTTTTTTTACATCCGAAAATTATGGACGGTTTTTTGATGGAAGCTTGTGATGGTGGCTTCAGGTGTTCGGATCTGCAAGGAGATGAAGATGAAGAACAGTTAGGTGGTTTCCTATAGGAGAAGACAGGGAGAAAGGGTTTCTTCGATGATGGTGTTTCTCCGGTTAGAGGGTGGCGATGGTGGATATTTGTTGGTTTAAGGTATTCCATTCAGAGGATGAAGAAGGTTGGGTTGTTGGGTTGTAAAGGAGGAATAAGGTTGCTTGTTAGGTTGTGAAGGAGGAATAAGGTTGCTTGTTGGTAGTCTTTGATAATGGTTGGAGTGGACTTAGTAGAGTGATGGAGGTGAAGATAAAGTCACGCAGATGATGGGAGGGTGAAAGTTAAAGGTGGTAGTGGGTCCCACTTTATTAATTAACATGATATTTAATATAAAAAATAACAAATAAAAAAGAGTAATTTAGTCTTTTGTGAGGGACCTAACACGCAACAAAAATACATCTTAGGGATCGTCTTAGTTAAAAAAAAAAATAAAAAAAAAAAATCTTAGGGACTAACCATGTAAATCACCCTATATCATTGGGACCATTCGTGTATTTTACTTAGGGGTGTTCGTTTGGATGGATCGGTTTGATCCAATCCAATCAAGTGAATCCAAATTGATTTCGGTTTTCAAAACATGGATCCGAATAGTCCAAACTAAATTCAAATCCAATCCGATCCGAACCAATTACAATTCGGTTGGATCGGTTTTTATAATTCGGTTTACAAAAACCGAAACATTTTAAAACGACATATAATTATAATATTACTCAATTTTACACAAGAAGCAAAAACAAATTATTTATTTGTGATTTGAAATTTATAAACAACTAATAAGAAGATATATTATAGTTAAATATTTTATAGACATAAAACTTTTGAGAGAAAATACATATTAATGTTTTTTTTATCGGGTGAAACGTTTTGAACCTATTTGAAAAAATAAATTACAAAATTAATAAATAACTATATATATATATATATATATATATATATATATATATATATATATATATATATATATATATATATATATATTATAAATAAATAAATTATAAATGTTTATTCGGTTTTTTTGGACTAATCGATTCTGATTTTATAAACCAAAACCAATCCGAAATCCAAAATAATAATTCGGTTTTGTTGAAAACCAATCCAAAAATCCAAATATTTGAATCAAATAGTCCAATCCAAATTGTTCAATTGGATAATTATGTTTTATTTGAATAATGAACAAACCTAATTTTACTCTAGAAGCTATTTGGCATTTGTTTAATCTACCCGGGTGTTCTAGAAGCAAGGAGGGCTATCCGGTTGAAAGTAACACAGTCTACCAATTAATTCTCTTCTAAACGCAAAAGTTCAAGCGCATGGTGATCAGTTGCATATGCATACTCATGACTACACATCTACTTTGGTAGTAACTTCAGGTTTCATTTGCGTTCTCGATTGATGTGTAGTTCAAGTTTTTGTTTCCGTTTGATGATTTGAAGTCAATATTTCTCAAATTTTATTGTTCAAATTGCAATGATGTCAATTTATATATTAACTGAGTCATGATTGAGATCACAATGATCATCAATTATCTAGCTACTTAGCTCATGTGTTGAATGAGTTCATTAGTTGATTTTATTTAAATGTGGACTCATTTACAAGCACAGATATGATAGATATAAATTGAACATGCCGTTAAAAATAAATATAAAAATTCAACATTTGAAGGAAAAGATAGGAGAGGGGATAAAAACAAGTTGCAATAATGCGTGTGTGGGGTTGGAGATTATGAAGGAACGTGGCCACTTTTGAAATTTCATCGACACGGACCCCAAAACTCCCACGTCAACTTTTTCATGTTTTTCTTTAATTTCCATATGTGTCTCACACATTGTATCTCCATGGGTAGTAATGAAAGTCAACTCGGACCAAATTCACTCGTAACACACAGAGTGAGAAAAAAGAGAGTAGGTTTTATGGGGAAGCACAAGCTTAGATTGTCACATATGATACCAAATGCTTGGTTTTACAGGCTTCGAGATATGAACATCAAACCACTTTCATCTGCTTACTCTTCTTCAACTTCAAAGCAGCACAACCACCCAAGAAACTCTATCTGCTACACGCCTACGCTTCAACAACTTTACACTACAAACATTATCCACAATCCTCCTTCTCCAAAACATCCACTCTACACTCAACCCACTGAGCCAATTGATCATACCCATCAAGATTTATTTCTCTCACCTACCAGCTCTTCATATAAGTACCCTTTCTCCGAGTCAACTCGCTCATTGGACACAACACCACCCTCCACCTCTTGTAGTCGTAAACTGATTTCTGCTTCAACTAATGATAACCTTCAAAAGCTTCCTCCAATTATAACTAAACCCACAAAATCCAGCATTGACAAATCAAAGATGGTTGAGAAGAATGAAGAAACTTGCAGTAAAAGCTCAGTTTCAATCAAAACAATCAAAGAAAACATCTCCAAGAAAGAAACTGCAGGGGGAAAACCAGTTTCAGAAATCAAGATCAGATCGAATTCTTCCAAAACACCAGTATGCAAGAGAATGGTTGATGATAATAATGACGACAAAAGACAAAAGAAGCTGTCAAGTAGCTGCTGCATTGTGAAGTCATCATTTGACCCACAGAAGGACATGAAGGAATCAATGCTAGAGATGATTCTGGAGAATAACATCCGGGAGTCAAAGGATTTGGAAAAGCTTCTTGCATGTTACCTGTCCTGGAATTCAAATGAGTATCATGATATGATCGTCAAGGCGTTTGAGCAAATCCGGTTGAGTTTTAACTTTAGGAGTCTAGTGCACTAGAAATTTGAGGTATTAATGTTTCTGCTTCGAATTATGTGGTTTGGTGTGTATTGTCCCTGATTAACATGGCAAAGCTTAATATTATCTATAAGTTTTGACACTCAACTCGGGTTGTTTTTTAGAAACACAAGTAAAGAAAGATTAAAAGAAACTGCCAAGCGATCAGACGGGACCTGGAATCAAAACATCCATGTTCTGATCCGTGTAAGAGAAAATACCTGACAAGTCTGTACATTTAGGAACCCAAAATAGAAGTAAAAGAACATTCCTGACAATTTTGTACATTTATTGTGGAAGTAAAAAAGAGGATCTTTATGTGAATCCCTAGTAATAATCTTTGTAAACAATATTTTGCGAAAAAAATGGATTTCAAAATAACCCTAGATCGACTGCCGCAATAGATTTACATAACTAATTATAATTAAATATCATGGTACGTCCTACCCATCTTCTTACTTATATAAAATGATGATATGTTGCATCTACTAATTCTTTCTCTTAATCACTTCTTTAAATTTTAACACTTATCATGATCTTATGAGTAGAGTATACTCATATAAAATGATGATATGTCTACTAATTCTTTCTCTTAATCACTTCTTTAAATTTTAACACTTGTCATGATCTTATGAGTAGAATAGAATGATGGATAGAAACAAAAAATAGGAGAAATATGATAAAATCTCCATGTCTTTCATCGAACTTAATGCAGAACATATACAAAAGGGAATCCCAATAAATTGGGGATTGGGATATAGATAAATACAAATAAATCTATAACAATAAATATAGATAAATATATGTGTATGCTATTTGTTAATATCCTCCATCGGAGGAGGACGAACTGTCAAACTATTTCTTAAATAAACAACAAGTTGACGAGGTAGGCTTTTGGTAAACATATTTGCATATTAGTAAGTTGGTGGTATGTAAAGAACTCGGATGTGTCAAAGAGCAATTTTTTCTCTGACAAAATGAATATTCATTTCGTGTGTGTTAGTATACTAGTGTTGAACACGATTTTGGATAAGTACATAGCAGAGACGTTATCACAGTAGACCAATGTTGCACGTTTAAGAGGGACAAGGAGCTTGAGTAGTAGGTTGCGAAACCAACATATCTCAACAACTACATTCGCAACAGATCAGTATTCGGCTTTTACACTCGAGCGAGATAAGGTATTTTAACATTTAACCACCCAGGAGATGCAGTTATCCCCGAGGAAGACGTAGTACCTTCATGTTGATTAGTATGTATTGGCATCCATCCCAATCGGTGTTTGTATAGGAAACTAGTTGGGATGATCCTGATGAATAGAAGTGGAGACAAAGTTTGGGTGTGCCTTGTAGGTATCGGATAATTCGTCTTAGAGTATTAAATGAGGTACACATAAGCTTATTTATTGAACGACATATGAAATGTGTAACATCCTGTTTTCCATCATTTCTTATTTTAGGGTCGTGGGCTAGAGGTTAATTGTGTAAAAGCTTTGGGCCTTAAGGAGGTAAATATTAGACCTTGTCGAAGGTGGTAACGATGGTTGAGAGATCTAACCCTTGAATTGTGTTTTAGGTCAAAGGGTAAAAAAGGGACAAGTCGTAGGTCAGGTTCTTGCATGAAATATGGATTTTTGTTCAAGAAGTGTTTAGTCCAATATATTTTGATATATTGTAGAGCTCTTCAACATCTTTCCGTGGATATAAAGAACATTGAAAACAGAGTTGGAACGAAGAAGTTACGACCGTTTGAAGTTATGATGATTTTTGGGTTAGCCACATACGTTGGGCGTACGGGGAGTACGATGGGCATACTAGGGCATCCCTAGTACACTGGGCGTACCAGGAGTATGTTGGACGTATGCGATCAGTGCCCAAACCCTATTTCCGTGGTTTGAGCCCTATTTAATCTCCTTAACTTCCCCAAACTCATTCCATTCTCAACGTCCACCTCTCCAACACCCTCTCTTGAAACCCTAACCCTAGTTTGAGCATTGTGAGAAAAAAAGAAGGTGTTTTTAAATGCTTTGGAGTGTTGTTTGTGCACCTTGGTGAAGAAGGACCTCATTGAAGAAGCATTGGTTGCATTGGAGCTTGTAGATCCAGACCTTGTTCACCTTGATCTTTCTTCTGTAGGTATAAAGTTTGAATCTTGATGATGAAATTGTTAGATCTAGCTAGTTTTGGGTATTATGAGCTTTTGGTCACTTTAAGTGCATAAAGTTTAGACCTTGAAGTTTGTGACCTTTTTATGGATAGAGTTGGAAACTTTATACATCTAAACATCATATTGATTCAGATATGAAGGTTGGAGATTTGGACTTAATGGATTAAGTTGAAACTGATGCACTTTTGGTCCCTTTATGACTTAAAGACTAGATCTTGTTTGTTGGGAGGATTCTAATGGATAAAGTTGGAAACTTTATCCATTATGGAGCTATTAGGAACCATAAAAATGTGATCTTGGTCCTTCTATCCCTTCCATGCAAGAGTTGTGATGTCTTAATGGATTAATAAGTTAGGGTTTTAGCTTTTGGACCTTCCATAGTCATGGAAAGTCATAAAGGTGGAAACTTTATGACTTAAGACAATGTTTAGAGGTTAGATCTGAGTTCCGGTGAAAAGTCCTTAAGGGATTAAGTGGTTAATGGAAAGAATGGAACCAACTCGAGTACGTTGGGCATACTAAGCCATCCCATTTACACGGGGCATAAGTTGAGTACACAGGACATACTCAACCAGCCTTGGACTTTGACTTTTGTTGAATGCGTTGACCGTTGACTTTTTTTACCACGTTTGACTTTAGGTCAAACTTGAGGATTTTGATTGGTGATTAAGATTTCATATGGTTTTGATGATAGTGGATCCATGAAAGCAAGCAGCATAGCATGGAGCATATCACAGTGTTCTCGGGTTTTTTCATTTCAGGTGAGTTTTGCCTCACTATACCCGTAGGTCGAAGGCACCAATGTCGGCCCACCAGTTTTGTTTATTTGTTAGTAGAGGGATGCCTTAGGGACTGTATACAGTCATGTAGTGAAACATCCCAAAAACGAGGGTAAAATTTTCATTTTTAAAACAATCAAAACACACATTTATCATTTAAATAAATACTTGAAGATATTTTATAATGAAATCAGTTATCAGAGTACAATCCCAAAATCTTAAAGCTACGGAAAATATAGGCGTATGCGCTACAATCAAGCCGGGCCCTTCCCTTTCAAACCGGAAGTACCTGAAACCATAAGCAACAACTGTAAGCACAAAGCTTAGTGAGTTCCCCAAATATCACATACCATACATAACATGCGAGCCAAACATAACATACAGATCCAACATTCAATAGGAAGTGCTATGTGACAACCATAATCTTGTAATTATGCCACGAGTCGTATCATGGTCTTTCCTTGCCAGGCCGGAGACCAAAACCCTGGGTCTTACATATAAGTGCCAGGAGCCACCTCCTACTCTTCCATGCAGATCACAAAGACAACTAGCATACAATCTACAACTAACTATCTACTTAAATGCCAGAGTCCAAACTCTGGTCTTGCATACAGAATTTCCAGGTGCCACCCACTGGTATTTCATATAAATACCAAGGGCCGCCCATGGTCTTCCTACAATACATAGAATAGTGATGAGACTCACCTCGCAACCCATAGGGTCGGCATTCGTGCCTTCGACCCATAGAATAGTGATGAGACTCACCTCGCACTGCTGAATCACACTCATAATCCCTGACAGTTGGACAGCGAATCCTCTGAACTATCAATATCAAATAACACCCAATTAACAATTGGAATCGATTCTATATCCTTCAATCCATACTTAGGGTAAAAAGAAAATTTTACCCCTTATCTAGCTTGGCCCAAGACTGAGGCCCAAACATACAATCCAAAAGGCCCAAACATGACCCAAAATATCCCATGGTCAACCCTGATCAAACTTCTGGTCAAAGTCAAAGTCAACAGTCCATGTTGACCAAACATGCCATGTTTCCCCTTGGACACGTCGTGTTTCACCAGCATCCAGTCAGTCGGGAAAAATCCCGAACACACATTGTGTTGCCTCTTGAACACGCCGTGTTCGCCTGAGATACAACAGCTCAATACATTAAGTTGTTTTCTCCGATTCCAAGAGCTCCAAAGCTCAGATCTAGTCCATAACATGGTCCAGAAGGATAAGGTTTCCAACTTTATCCATTCGGACTACCCAAAAAGGTTCAAAACTCAATCCATAAAGCTTAATAGTGCAAGGTAATAACCAATAAGCACTTAATCCATAAAGACATAGCCCCAAAACATAGATCTGACTTCCTTGAGCTGGAAACCCATGTAAAGTTGCCAACTTTACGTTCATGCATGTCTAAATGAAGCTCTTAAGCTTAAAAAGGACTCAACTTTATCCATTATAAAGCCACAAACTTCCAAGCTCAAAAACCCTAAGCCAAGAAATGACCAAAAATCCATCATTCTTAAAGCATGGAGTAAAGAGAGATATTGCATGCACTTTCTGCTCCACCAAATGATGAAATCATAATCCAAACATCGGCCAAAAGCTCAAGAATTCTTTCAACTCAATGGAATAAGCCACAAGTGGACCAAAACTTGCTAAAATTGACCAAAAACCAAACAAACTCTTAGATCTATGGAACTTTAGAGTTTACCAAGGTCCAAAGGTGTTAAGAAGGCTAAAATCTTCAAGATCCATGCTTCATTGCCCAAGATTTGATGCATCATCACCCACGAACACCATAAGAGAAAAAAGGAGCACCAAAATGAATTTAAGAGAGAGAGAGAGAGAGGGAGAGAGTGAGTGAGTGAGTGAGTTCCACACGCTACAAAGGGGGATAGGATTTAATTAGAGACATTCTAGAATAGGTTATGTGAGGCCCGTAAGTTCGAGCTAGACACTTTAAAATATAAAATATAATAATTACACACTTTCTAGAAGAGGTTGTGTAACGCCTGTAAGTTTGGGCTAGAAACTTAAAATATAAAA